CCTAAGGAGTGGTGGAAATTTAGAAGTATTCCCTTTCAAATTGGAAGAAAGAAAGGGTTGTCCTTTACCACCATATAATTCAATACTTTATTAGTTCACTAATACAAAAAGACGAGAAAAAGAAGTTCAAAGTAGAGATTAAAAGAAGAGGAAGAAACATGACTGTCAATATTTGCAGAAATGATTGTCATTAGGGCTGAATTGTAGCTGCTTCTTTAAAGATTTATTTTTATTTATGCATACAAAAACTGGGGTGTAGGTCAGGGGTGTGGGGTGGGTGAGAGGCTTCACCAGAGACAGAATGGAGAGCAGAACAGGCAGATTGACTGAAATACACTGCTGAGGGGAACAGTAGGCAAAACAGGAGAGGTCTGCTGCACCAAGCAGGTTAGCTCCCTGGCCGGATCTGGATCAAACTCTTGCTGCAGTGGCTGGCGATAGCTTGATAGCACTGACACTTTAATCCCTGCACCACAGGGAGGCCCTGAACTGTACCTTTTAAAATGTGTAAGTTGAAGTCCTAACCCCCCCGAATATAATCATATTTGGAGATAAAGTGGTTAAAGTGCTCAGTCAAAATAAAAGTTTATAGGGTGGGTTCCAATAAGATTAATATTCTATAAGATCAGGAAATTTGGACAGAAAGAGACACCAGAAACATGCGTGTGAGACCATGTGAGGACAGTGAGAGAAGATGACTGTCTGCAAGCCCAGAAGAGAGGCCTCAGAGACAAAGGAGCATATGACAGCTTGATCTCAGACTCACAACCTCCAGAACTGTGAGAAATCAAATCCCTTTTGTTTAAACCACCCAGTCCATGGTATTTGTTATGGCAGACCTAGTAAGCTAATACATATATCGTCTTAAAAATGTTAATGAGTCAAAAACATCAATAAAGTACTCAGATTCAAGATCACTGTATAAAATCAATTGCGCTTCTATATACTGTCATATTGTATTGACGGGAAAAAAAGGTGATCCCATTCAATAATACCAACTTGAAACATAAAATAAATCCCTAGATATAACTGCAACCCAAAGTATGCAAGATTTTAAAAAAGAAAACTGTAAAATTTTTTACTGAAAGATGTTAAAAAGGTTTAATCAAACAAAAATGTACCATTTCCTGACTAGGAAATACCAATTGTAAAAATGACAAGTCTGTCCTTAAATTAATCTAAAAATTCAGTACATTCCCAATGAAATTTCCATCAAGATTTTTTTTTTTTATAGACTTAGTTGGGAGATTCTAAATATTTAAGAGAGGAAATAAGAAGGAATTGGTGAATAATTTTTGAAAAATTAAAGGTATAATATTTTCCTATTATCTATCAATATACTGCAAAGCTGTAATAATTAAACTAATAGTCATTTTTTAGGACTGGATTGAAGAAGCAGAATAGGAAGCATGCATGTATATACAGGGATTTCTGAATTTATAGTCTTTCACATGAATAGAGAAAGCATGTCTATTTAATAAATGGTGTTGGGATAATTGACTTGCCATTTGCAGAACAATAAAGCTAGACTTCCACTTGACACCACGAAGCTAAATAGATTCCAGATGGCTTAAAATGTTAAATATTTTTTTAAAAGCCCAAGGAACTACAGGAAATGTAGGGAATATTTTTCACTATAATCTTAAGGCAGGGAGGCCTAAATAAACAAGATATAAAACTTAGATCTCTAATTAAAGTGAAACAAAAAAATGTCTGGGTGATATAATAAATAAAATTAAAGATCATGCAACAACCTCAGAAGAAATAGTCATATCTCACAAAAATTTATATTCAAAACCAATAAAGAAGTCTATTAATCAACAAGAAGTGATCAAAAAACCATCCGAATAATGCACACAGGAAATAAACAGGTAAGTCATCAAAAGTTCTCTAGATGGCCAATAGACAAGAGCTCGAAGTTTCATTAGTAATGCAGTAAAACAATGAAATATCAAATTTCACCTATCACTGGTAAAAAGAGAAAGGATTTAAGTCAACAATTGGCAAATAAGGAGAAAAAGATATTGATGAAGAATTTGGAGTCCTCTTCTAGTAATTTAGTCTAGAGAAATACTTACATATGTGCACAAAGATGTATGTGCAAGGATAAGTAACTGTAAAGTAAAAAAAAAAGATAAATATCAGATGGTTTCACTTATATATGGAATATAGAGAAACCGAACAAAAGGTCACGAAAAAGACAAACCTTGCAAGCTGACCATAGATCTGAGGCATACAGCAGGGGGAGGGGGAGTGAGAGGGGTCAAAAACGGGGGTGGGGGGGTTGGGGAGGGAATGAGCACAAGGGACTGTGGTGATAGATCACAGCTGATATGGTGGTGGGAGAAATACAGGGATTACATCTGAGGGGAGAAATCAAATACTGTCCAAAAATTAACAATGATGTAAGAAAAAAAAAGCAGACTTGTTAGTTTCTTCATACAATGGTTCTCAGTTGTCCAACTATTTTATTTTAAAAGTCCAGCTTTACTCCAGTGCTGTCAAAAGTCACCCTTATTGTCCACTAAATTTTCATATGTATTTGAGCCTATTTCTGAATTTTGTATTCTATTCTACTGCCCTTATATGAGTACCATGATTTTTTTTTGTTTTATTTATTTATATTGAGCACTACATTGTTTTAAGTATAGAGGCATTATGGTATGTTTTAGGGTGGGCTAGTTCCCCTACATAATTTTTTTCCCTATTTTCTGACTTGCTTATATGTTTATTTTTCCATATAAACTTTGGTATCAACTTAATTTCATAAAATAGCTCATTGGTATTTTTATTGGAATTGCATTGTATGTGTAAACTATCTTAGGGAAAATTTATAACCTTATCAAGTTGAGCCATCCTGTTCAAGGACAGATGTCTTTCCATTTGTTGAAATTTATTTTTGTCTTTCAGAACTTGGGGGGAAGATAATACAGAGTTTTGGGTTTTAAACATCCTTTTAAAATCTTTTCTTGGGCCTCCCCGGTGGTGCAGCAGTTGAGCGCTGGGCTGCGAAGCTGTCCGCAGCCTCTGCAGCATGGGTTCTATTCCCAGCTGGCTGGGGAGAAACCCACATAGTGTGACAGAACTCTCCTGTCTCGCCCGCTACTACCCTCAGCAGTGTATTTCATCAGTCTGCCTGTTCTGCTCCCTGCTCTGGATCTGGTGAATTGTCTCACCCTCCCGCACTTCTGACTGTACCCAGTGCTTGTATAAATAAATAAATAAATCTAAAAAAAAAAAAGACTTTTAAAAAATCTTTTCTATTCCCAGATTCTAGTGTTTGGATACTCTAATAGCTTGAAGCCGCTGGAACTTTTTCTTTGTGTTTTATCCAACTTTGATGTTTATTCTCAGCAAGAGGGATAGTCTGATACCAAGTACTCTTAAACTAGACCCAGAAATCATCTTCAGCTCATCTTTTAAAGATTCATTTATGCATACAAAAACTGGGGTACAGGTCAGAGGTGTGGGGGGTGAGAGGATTCACCAGAGGCAGAGTGGGGAAGAGAACAGGCAGATTGACTGAAATACACTGCTGAGGGGAGCAGCGGGCGTGGCAGGAGAGGTCACAGCACCATGTGGGTAGCTCCCTGGCCAGGGATCGAATTCGTGCTGCAGTGCCTGTTGATAGCTTCATAGGTTGTATCTTAACCCCTTGCATCACCAGGGAGGCCCCCAGCTCATCTTTCTTAAAGTAAATGTGACTGGTGAATTCTGAAGACCCAGCCAGTACAAATTTTGAAGATAGTTAGGGACTCTCATTGGAGATTTGTGCTTTTTTTCCCCCTAGATATTCACACAAGACACACCATTGCCACAAGTCATCTACATTGGAAATTTTATGTCTTCATAGATTTTTTTCTCAGCAGCTCCCAGTTTGAAGGTATGATATATCTTCACGTGGTTATAATAATTACTTTAGTAATCTTAGGTATTTTGAACTTTCTACTCTCCTTTGGGTCATTTTTAAAACCTATTGAGTTTATCTCTGTATCGATCTCTTTATGTTTTCTATCCTTTCCATTCTCAATGACAATGTCCAGAATCAGGCCCTGCTGTCCTCCTCCTGGACTGTCGCAGTAGTCACTGTCTGGGTTATGACCGCTAAGGGAGGAATGTGAACTCACCTATTTCTAGAGTTTGTGTGGCTGCTTCTTCTCCATACATCTCCTCTCCGCCCCTCTTCCCTCCTTGCTCCCTTCTTTCCCTTCCCACTTTTTAAGTCTTTTAAACCCAGCCCTACCTTGGCTCATGGCACATATAGGATAAACATAATTTTTCCCTTGGACAGTTCTCATGTTCTGACACTTCAGAATTTCAACAATCCTCCGGAGCCTGTTAGCCTCTCCAGGCAGGTGTGGTTCTCATTCTCTTCTGGCCAGGTGTCTTCCGCCTTTTATTCCCCTGATGGGGCAGTTTCTCTCCGCCTCCTCCCCTCTAATCTAGCCTGTGGAGACGGTCCTGCTGGAGACGGTCACCTTAACACATGGTTCAGGGTGTGACAGTCTGAGGAACCTCTCCTCTGCCTCTGAAGTGAAGCCCAAACTCCCAGGTACACCTGCCATTATCCGACCTCACATACTCCCCTCCACAACCTTTCTACTCTTATTTCATGAAGCTCTGATCAGGTCATCCTGTCTTTGAAATTGCTGCAAGATAACTCACCTTCATCTTTTCCTCATGTTATTTTCTCTGATGAAAACACCCTTTTAAAAATCTTTTCAAAACTTTAGCTGAAGGAAACAGGCATTTGGCATGAACTTGGGGTAGCAAAACAAGGAGGTATGTGACCAAGAAGCGAATGCTTAGTCTCAGAGATCAGAGGTTTAAAGAAAAGGGTAGATTAGACCCAAAAACACTTGATCTTAGCCAAAAGGCCAAGAAGCGATAGACCCAAAAACAAAAGAAAAGAAAGAGGGCTTCTGGTGCCGCTAGCAGCAGGCTGAGTTCGAGCCCCAGCAGCTGGAGGGAACCATGGCCAACAGTGAGCGCACCTTCATTGCCATCAAACCTGATGGGGGTCCAGGGGGGCCTTGTAGGGGAAATCATTAAGCATTTTGAGCAGAAGGGATTCCGCCTTGTTGCAATGAAATTCATACAGGCTTCTGCAGACCTTCTCAAAGAGCACTACATTGACCTGCAGGACTGTCAGTTCTTTGCTGGCCTGGTGAAATACATGCACTCAGGGGCAGTGGTTGCCATGGTCTGGGAGGGCCTGAATGTTGTGAGGACAGGCCAAGTGATGCTTGGGGAGACCAACCCGGCAGACTCCAAGCCTGGGACCATTCATGGGGACTTTTGCATCCAAGTTGGCAGGAACATCGTTCATGGTAGCGATTCCGTGGAGAGTGCCGAGAAGGAGACTGACTGGCTTGTGGTTTCACCCTGAAGAACTGGTAGATTACAAGAGCTGAGCTCAGAACTGGATCTACGAGTGACCTGAAAGCAGACCCCAGTGCTTCCCCCACTCAATTCCCTCTCTCTGAGCAGGGGACCAGGCTATAGCAAATCTAGTTATTTGAGAACTTCCTTATAACCCGGAGGAAAAAGGAGTGGTGGAGTGGTGCTCCCTGTACAGTGTTATGTGCTACCACCAGATTAAAATGGTTCACCCCCCCAACCCCCCAAAAAAGAAAAGAAAGATCTCAGTGCACTCGAGGACAGAGAAGTAACCCAACACCCTTCCTGCTTATTCTTCCAATATAACATACAGTTGACCCACCTTACACATTCTGCTTGATTTTCTTTTTCCATTAAAGCCACTTTTTCCATTAAAGCCACTTTTTCCATTAAAGCCAAATTGGACGTTGCACAGCCAGTGATCGGCTATGTAACAAGTGTATCCCCTACTTAACTGTGGCATCACTGAAATTGAGAAGTTGGAACAGAAGTATAGAGTGGCTCTTGGGATGACCAAGGATCCAAGACTTGCAGGATTACCATGCACACACACAGGAACCTAGGGAGGACTGCTTAGCAACTCAGCACAATGTTACAGAGATTCCCAGGGTTCCCATCATGTCCATTTCTCATCAGATACAACACTGAGCAGATGCCAGATGACTATGGAGCCCCTTGGTTCTAAGTCTTACATAACCAAGTTCCTATCCCTTCCTTTTACCAATCTTCTGTCACCAGTTCATTGAACATGCTATAGCATGAATTGTTAGCCCCTCCCCCATTTGCTGTATGAGCTGAGTGTGATTAAATACACTCACCTTGTGATATGTTTTGAAAATGAAAAAATAAAATTACAAAAGTTTGAAATCCTACTCATTTTTATAAACCCAGTTGAGGTGCAATCACCTCCTATTCCCTATTTCTGAAAGTCTGAATTATATTTTCTTTCTTCATATTTCCATAGCATTGATTGTAGCAACACTTAGCATTTACCTTATATAAGACTGCGTTAACACACATTGAGTGTTTATTATATGTGAGAGAGTGAATTTAGCTTCTGAAAACCACTGTCTCACTTATCCCTCCAAATTCAATGAGAAAAGAACTACTGTTTTTTGGGTTTTTTTTTTCCACAGCAGCTTTTTTAATAAACAAAAAGGAGGAAATATCAATGTTCATCTACAGAAGAACTGACACATAACAGTTCAGTGACAGAGAATATGACTCATAAAAGAAGAGCAATGAATTACTGATACATACAACATGGATGAACCTTTCTTCCGAGAGAAAGAAGACTGACACGTATTCTCTTTTTTTTTTTTTTTTGAGGTTTTAACATTTGAAGTTTTTTTTTATTTAAATTTTATTTTTATATTCCCCATACAATTACAACCCCCTTATTTTGACCCCTAACCCTCCTTTCCCCGCCCCCCACCCCCATAGAGTGTCTCTGGTTCATAGTTGTTTGTTGATTTTGATATTTTCGAGTAAAGAACTACTGTTATAGCCTTGTCTTTCAAGTGTAAAACTATCTGATAAATTAAAAGCTACTATCTAAATGCTTCTATAAAAGAGGCTCTTGTTAAATAAATTTTCTGAAACAAAGAAGCACTTTATGGGATGACCTCTCAATGGCCTAAAAGTTTTATTATTATTAAGAGATCAATTCCTCCCTTCATGAAACTAAAGTAATATTTATTAAACATTTATTATATGAACACTTGTATATTTTATGTAATCTTTACAACCAACTTTACTGAGGTATAATTGACAACATTATATTTAAAGTGTACAATGTGACCTATATATGTATACATATACACATACATACATATTTATTTCATTTAGTTTTTTCACAATTTTAATTGTTTATTTACGAAGAGAAAGTATTATTCCCCAGTTCAAATATTCAGGTTTCATGGTTCGGGAACACAAGTCAGTGACAAACTCCCATGGACGTCAAGCCATAGAAAGTCAAGCCTTTATGTTTCAAGATCACTTTGATCCCTGAAAGATCCCAGCCTTCCTCATCTCCTCAGCATCTTTCATGAAATCATCATTTCTGCAGAAATCTGTGCATGCCTTCTTTCTTGGCTCAGTCACAACAAAATTATAGAAAGCTGCAACTCTCAGGGATACAACAAATACTCCAATAATACGAAATCCCCGATGTCTGGCCAGAAGGTCTCACTTCCGAGGTTTCGACAAATCCCTGGAAGTCAGGGTAGTTACTATCCTTCACCAGCATGGCCCTCCACGCTGCAGGGAAAGTGGAAAGAGGTAGGGGGAAGACACCTAGCTCCCATAATCTTTAAGACAGGTTCTGTTATGTTTCCCATTTTACATTTGAGGAAATGGAGGTTCTAAAGAAGTTAAGTAAATTGCTGATGGCCAGAAAACTTGTAAGTGGAAAAGCCCACACTAGAACTCATGACTTTTTGTCTTCAGAGCTAGAGTGTTAACCCTACTAACACTGAGCCTTCCAGAGTAGGATGGTCACTGGCTTCAGGTGTGATACCTCAGACTATGTTACAGATCACCGTTTCTTCCAATTCATCTTCTCTCTTTCTTCCTGGAGACATGGCTCCCTATCAGAGACTAAATTTTTCAACCTCCTTTGCATTCAGGAATATCTGCGGGGTTTTTTGTTTTTTTTCTTTTTGCCAATGAAAAATGTAAGCTTCTATTAGAAAAACAATTCCCTCCTCTTTGCCTGAAAGAAAATTGTTTGGCTCATATGTCCTATTTGTCCCTTTCCCCTGGGTTTAAACCAGACAAAGCAATCACCCAGCTTTGATCATTTACACAATGACAGCGTTTTAAGTTTGGCGCAGAAGCAAGATGAAAGATACCTAAGAGCCTCAATGGTGGTGTAGAGTAGAGCTGTCCCAATGTCTGTTTATGTGAAAGAAAAATAAAATTCAATCTTAGTTAAGTCACTGTAATTAGGGTTGGGGGAGGCATCTCTTTTGTTACAGCAGCTTTTAGCCTTTACTTCTCGAATATACCACTTATTTCAGATAGATGTTACTCATGCTTTTCTAAAGACAATTTGAAGCTCTCATCAACAGAATTTCAGAGCAGGGGACAGAGAATGCATCAGTAACAAACCAAGCATCAATGAATAAATTAAAATATAAATGGCACGACTAAAATGTTTTTCATCATGCTTTATGATCACCAATTAGAATCTCTTTCCATTGGAAATTTCATTCTGTAACCAATATATTGCTATTTATACTAGCTTGTAATCTAGCTACAAAATGCTATTACTTTTCTTACACAAGCCCTGAGAATTTAATGAAATAACCAGCTGGGTGACACTGAATATATTCTTCTCCATTCTCTGGATGAACAAAGTTGGGAGGAGCGGGAGAGAAACTGCCCCATCAGGGGAATAAAAAGGGGGAGACACCTGGCCAGAAGATAATGAGAACCACACCCACCTGGAGAGGCTAACAGGCTCCGGAGGATTGTTGACATTCTAAAGTGTCAGAACATGAGAACTGTCCAAGGGAAAAATCATGTTTATCCTATATGTGCCATGAGCCAAGATGGGGCTTGGTTTGAAAGACTAAAGAGATTTAATTCAGCGAAAAATGAAACAAAACAAAGGCCCAAACAAACAAACAAAAAAAAAAAAACCCAGGTGAAGAATAAGGGAATGAAAGGATGAGAATGAGAGACAAGGTGGGAAGGGAAAGAAGGGAGGAAGGAGGGAGGAGAGAAGGAGAGATGTATGGAGAAGAAAAGCCACACAAACTGTAGATAGGTGAGTTCATGTTCCTCCCTTAGAGGTCGTAAAGATTTCCTCTGGGCCTCGCGCTCCAGATGTGCGACACGCCCAGAGGAAGTTCGTGCAGGGCCTCCGTGACAGGAGCCTCACACCTCATCTCAAAGCCCTTCCAACTTCTGGCAAGGCTTTCTGTGAACTTTACACTTAGGCAGATTTTCATCTCTTTAGCAGCACCTCCCTTGCACAAATAGGAAAAAGAGACAGAGGCAACAGAGAAGCGTCTTGGCTTCAAGGCCTAACTTCCCTAGGGGATTCATATTTTCTATTGGTGCACTTGCCAAGTCACCATTTGTACTCATGGTGGTTAAACCTAGGGACAGCTACTCCCAAAGCAGCATTACTTCTTAGTCCATTAAGGAAAGCAGGACGTGGACAGGGATGTCCATGTATCTCTCCAATGAAAGAGCAGGCCTGGAGTCTACCCTGGGGTAAACCATGGGGGATCAGGATTTCAACAGTGTCCAGATGTTGTCCTGTTTCCTAGTAAGCCCCTCTTTACTGTTCTCTCTTCTTCCTGGAAAACTTAAGTCCTTTCACTATTTATAGAACTTTTTTTTTAACGTTCTCCACCTCCCCTCCCCACCGCTCCCCCCCCACCCCCTCAGATATCTTTAGTCAGTGAAGCCCAATACCAGTTCTGGGGTCTTGGACCTTTTAGCTACAATAATTCTTAATTATGTATTTGCACTAATTTATACTGATTGTCCAGCAAAAAGAACGTAAACCTCGATAGGCCAACATTTACTGAAAGGACTTTTTTTCTCTCTGATGTCTACACTTATATTTCACAGCTGAATGTTTTCTCGCATGAATCATTTAAGGGTGTTGGTGACTTAGTCCTTTTAAAAGCATCATTAATAAAATGTTAAAGGATATATTTAAATATTCCTTAGCAGACTGAGAATTTGTTAAGAGGACCATCAAAGATAGTAAAATAACATATTATGTATGAGTTATTCGAAGGGGTAGAATGAAATAATTAAAAATTAAACCAAGCAATTATATGAGAAAATGAACTTTGTTATTTGTTAATGAAAAATACAACAAAGTCCAAGTATATGTTACATATAAGAGAATATACAGAGCACAAAAATAATGAAAACCAAAGGATACAAAAGGATACAAAATGCACATATTAAGATAATGAAAGTTAATGTAGTTATTTTACTAAGTAAAAATTACTAAATAAATTAGGTAAATAAGGTATTTTATAAAAATA